AGTCAACAACTCGCCCTGTATTTTCTCACCTCGTCAGCTGCTATGTTCACCGTATGGTCCGATAACTCTTCTAACTGACTCATAGATAAGCAACTTGTATAAGTATCAGGCTACCAGCCTATCTCTTGAATATTATTCAGTCTGTTCTTTAGTTGCAATCACCCCATCAATTATATCTTCCCATAGCGGCCTTCCTTCCCCAGTTTTCATTCAGCCGTTTTGATTACAGCACCGGTGTATGGTACACGCGCCGTCCCTGTCTGCGGTATATCAACGCATCTATCGGCGAGACGGGGTTCGATTCCCCGCCGGTGCATACTCCCAGCCAAAATTTTTTGTCCCGATCTCGGACGGGTGTGTGGTTTATCTAATTTATGTCCGTGTCCGCAAGAGGGGAAGTAAAAACAAGAGGGTGCGGGATGGAACGTATTGATATTCTCCAGTGGGTGATTGCTATTGTCCCCGGTCACCTCTTTCGTTGACCAGTCAACGCTCTGATTATAACCATATTCGGGGTACAGGGATTCGTGGGCTGAGATGCGGTGATTCGAATATGGCAGACGTACTAGCACATAGCACACCCGAGTCTAAATCAATCAAGTGATGGATATTTCGCGGATACTCTGGTCCTTGTTTGAACAGGATGCGCGGATACATTTGTGGCCTTCCGTCCCATGTTTTCATCCAGTCATCCTGATTATGGCGACCGAAAAATGCAGGATGTCCACCGACATGACGGGGTTACAAGTGGTAGCAGAAAGCACCGGTGGTGTATGGTACACGCGCCGTCCCTGTAAATGGTAAAGCGCAGGTTAATCGGCGAGACGGGGTTCGATTCCCCCCCGGTGCATGTAGTCTTCTGCGAAGTTTTTTCTCCCGCACGGGCTGGTATGTGTTGAGGTTATCTCATTTCTTAGTCGCGTCCACGAGAGGGTTCTGGAGAACGCAACCCTCTATCGGTGATGGAGAATGATTTCGAAGATGTATATGTTCGGGAACAAGGATGGAGGCGATTCAACACAGACAGATCCGGAGACTTCACGGCGATGCATTGATTCCTGTGTTGTTCGGCGCCGACCTTCCTTTTCCTCCCGCATTCTTCACTGACCTTGCCATCCGCACTCAACGGGCTCCGGGAGCGAGTGCGTCGTGGTTGTAAAGCAGTTTATCAATCTACTGAAGTTCACGCCGGCGTTTTGAAATTCCCGAGGTCGCCTCTCAGCAATTCCAGACCATGGCAGAGTTTGGGACAATCGGAAAATCACTGCGAAGGTTTTGAGCGGTCTACTGCGGTGCCAGTGAGCGAGTGGCAAAGAAGCGAGAGCGTGAGACTATATTTGGCAAAATCCGCTTCTTTCTTCACTGTGCGAAGTCGTGTCTCCGAATAATGATAAGGCCTCGGATTCGTTTAAAGTTTGGCCCCTGCAAATTTGTCACCAATTTAAACTCCGCTTTGCCGCTGCGGCCGTTCATTGTTCCCAGCTCTTTATTTTCCAAACCTAAATCGAAGTGGTGGTCTTTGTAAATAGAATTGCATATGATTGTACTACTTTGAGGTAGACTTTTCGGACCATGGCAAATTTAGCATTTTCCGGTGAGTTTTTCCAGCGCATATGTACAATTCTCCATTAATGTTCTTTATCCACCGTCGTCCCCATCGGTCATTGGCGCGAACTGAATTGACGGATCCAGTGTGTCAAGTTCGAACGTGTCGATTCGTCCGGCCGCCCCTGCCTCGTGCAAGTTGAGCATCAGCCTGCAGAGCAGGGTTAGGGACAGGCTGGAAATGATATGGAGGGTTAGCTCTGTGATAAATTGGAAACAATTGCAGAGAGCGGCACCTTGAGGTGAACCAGGAGAGGAAGCCCGAAAGGAGGATCTATCTGTCGCTCGAGTCGAAGGCAAACAGAAGTCTGAGAGACGCACGTCGCCAAGCTGCGGAGGCGATTGCGAATGAGGGGAACGTTCTATCTGGGAACTGTCCATGACTTACATAAAACGTCGAGATATTCGCTATAGTGGCCAGGACGATCACCCTATATCATTTGGGTCAGTCATTCATTCCACTCCAGCCTGAAAAACACACCCAAAATACATGCTCCCTGCGCACCCATGAACACAGCTGAGTCAGAAGACAGTAAAACGAAGGGGGCTTTCAGGCACACAGACCGTCCTTTAGCATCCTCTGGATTAGCGAGCCGGCGTATGACCGCGATGTATGACGCTGCATGTATGCTTGTCGGACGGTCAACGCGAACACGAGCACATCGCAGGCGAGCCTGAATTAAACGGTGCGTCAAATTCCAACCGCGTCTGATGAAGGAAGTTGAAATGCACGGACATGACCATCCAAGCATTTGCCACATCTGGAGCAATCAGTTGAATTGAGGGGATTAACCAAGTCACCTACGGTCAGCCCTGTACGCGGGACGTCAATAATAATATCGCCATGATCTCAGAAATTAAATTGAATCTCTCACGCAGAGCGCGGGTATGGCGTGTTGCATCCATTTAATCCAGGTGCTGCAAGGTTCTGTGCGGGGCTGTCAAGGTTGACGGCCCCCACCTGAACGCATTCAAGTCAGCCAGCCTCAGCTCATTTATTTAAGTGGAAACTGAATTTCTACTCACCACTGCCAGGGTCCCGCTGATGCACACCAGGGCCAGGAGCGGAGCGAGCACCCATATGTTCCTGCCGTACATGGCAAAGACACGGATAATGAGTGTCGCTGCGGCCACATCAATTATATGACCGAGGGCCCAACATGGGTAGGCCGTGCTCACTTTCAATGAGAACCTCCTGGCTGATGATGAAGATTTCCCAGACGGTCAGCATCCTGATGCAGCTTTCCGTGGGATCCGTTCAGTATTGGGAGAGCCGGTAACAAGGACGCAGTTCTACTTACCTCTTTGAAAGAACGTAAAATCGGACTTGATTGAGGCCACGGGAACGGAGCAGCAGATGCTTGAACACACCTCATGGCTTAAGGCGCCAAAATAGAACACCGACACAACGATGTTCCCGATAAGCCCGATGTATCTGGCTGCGAGGAACAAGCAGGTGCCTGGCCGCAGCTTGGTTAACCAGATGTATTTTACCTCCGTGCTGAAGGTTAGGAGGTGATCATAAATGACAATGACTATAGCATGAAGTGAGGCTTTAAAACTTAGTAGTATTAGCGTACTCACCGAGGCCGGCGAGGAAGGCGTAGCGATAAATTCGACTAAAGGTTAGCATAAGCATGAACTGATGTAGATGTACGCGATGCAGGCACGGACTAATCAGAGGTGAACGTAGCATAATCCAGGTCTGTTGAATCTAGCAATGCCTGCAAGCGGGAGTCAGACATCATGAGGAGAACGGTTGGATCTAAATGTGGACAGTGGACATGCGATGGTTCAGCTTATTTTATAGCTTTTTATAGCTTCAGCTTCATGAACGAAGCTTCCTGATGCTGTACTAGTGCTGTGTTGCCGTTTGAGGAGAGCGGTACCGGTGGGATCTGATGTGGACAGTGAACATGCGGTGATTCAGCTTATTACTCGTTCTATCAAGATTTACTGCTCAATTCGTTGGGGTGTGGTGGTGGTTTTATCCCCTTGGAGCTTACTCCACAGCTGCTCGAAATTTACAGCTTCAGCTTCGTTAACGAAGCTTCCTGATGCTGTACTAGTGCTGTTTTGGTGGCCGACAGAATTTTTGGCTGTAAAATGAACTGCGCTGTTTATTTCCCACCAGCTCGAGAGGACGGCATGCGGCAGATCCCGACCACGAAAATTCTGAATTGTGGCCAACAAGTCCGCATTAGGATCATTCTGGTTAACAGGCTCATCATATGGGCTGTGCATATGACGTGCCACCCATTTTTCACTGACCACATGTCCATGAAATACACCGCTCAATGCTCGCTCTAACGGGAGAGCTGTCTAACGTGAGTGCGCTTCCTTCCCCCCACCACGATCTCCCCATCCACCCGCTGTTCTCCTCCCCTCAACACCGCTGAACAGCCGCCCTTGGATAAACCAAACGTTATGCAAGATACTGATGCTCTCCTGCCGTCCTGCATCTGTCCTGCCCGCCTCAACACGACACAGAATGGCCGTCCTCGGGTGATTAGACCCTTCGTAGGATACGGCGACATCAGGGCCGCGGACTGAGCAATGCGCACTCCGGGCTTGGGTGCAACTTTTGTGCAGAAACTTGCTGTGCCCTTTCCTTCCATCGCACTAGCAATCTGGTGTTTGCCGGCTGTCCTTCATGAATCACACCCTCCGCAACATTCAGGCAAGCGTCAAGACTCACGGGCATCGACACCACGCCAAGACCAAGCAATGTTGATCAGCAACTTCCTTTCAAAGTCCAACCCTTGGTCTGGTATATTTCTCAAGAGCGGAATTAATCGCACAATTTCTAACGAAAGAGCAGTACATGCGCCTAACTAACGAGGGTCAAAGTAGTAGGAGGAAGTACTGGTGGTGTATGGTACACGCGCCGTTGCTGTTTATGCTTTGTCATCGACTTAATCGGCGAGACGGGGTTCGATTCCCCTGCATACTCCCAGCCGATTTTTTTTGTCCCGATCTCGGACGGGTGTGTAGCTTCTGATTTGCATCCGTGTCCGCACGAGGGAAAGTAAAAACAAGAAGGTCCGGGACAGGGACAGAACGTATTGATATTTGCCGGTGGGTGATTGCTATTGTCCCCGGTCAACTTTCAACGCTCTAATTATAACCACATTCGGGGTAGACTGGGATATAGGGATTCGTGAGCTGAGATGCACCGCAATTCGAATATGGCAAACGTGCCAGCACATAGCACACCAGAATTTAAATCAATCCAGTGATGAATATTTCGCGGGTACTCTGGTCCTTGTTCGAACAGGGTGCGCAGATACATTCGTGGCCTTCCCTCCCATGTTTTCATCCAGTCATCCTGATTATGGCCACCGAAAAATGCGGGATGTCCACGGACATAACGAAGTTCAAAGGGGTAGCAGAAAGCACCGGTGGTGTATGGTACACACGCCGTCTCCGTGTGTGATACAAGAGTTAATCGGCGAGACGGGGTTCGATTCCCCGCCGGTGCATACGATCCCAGCCGAAATCTTTTGTCTCGATCTCGGACGGGCGTGTAGCTTCTGATTTGCATTCGTGTCCGCAAGAGGGAAGGTAAAAACAAGAAGGTGCGGGACAGAACGTATTGTTATTTGCCAGTGGGTGATTACTACTGTCCCCGGTCAACTCTTTCGTTCGACGTTGACCATTCAACGCTCTGATTATAACGACATTCGGGGTAGACAGCGATATAGGGACTCGTGAGCTAAGATGCACCGCAATTCGAATATGGCAGACGTACTAGCACATAGCACACCCGAATTTAAATCAAGTGGTAAGTATTTCGCGGGTACTCTGGTCCTTGTTTGAACGGGATGTGCTGATACATTCGTGGCCTTCCTTCCCACGTTTTCATCCAGTCATCCTGATTATGGTCACCGAAAAATGCAGGATGTCCACCGACATAACGAGGTTCAAAGTGGTAGCAGAAGGCACCGGTGGTGTATGATACACGCGCCGTCTCTGTAAAGGGAAAGCGCACGTTAATCGACGAGACGGAGTTCGATTCCCCGCCGGTGCATACAGTCGCAGCCGAATTTTTTTGCCCCGATCTCGGACGGGTGTGTAGCTTCTGATTTATGTCCGTGTCCGCAAGAGGGAAAGTAAAAACAAGAAGGTGCGGGACAGACTGTATTGCTCTTTCGTTGACCATTCAACGCTCTGATTATAACCACATTCGGGATATAGGGATTCGTGAATATTAATTGAAAGTTCGTCGCGTCTAGTTGCGAATCTCGAAGCGACCAACTTTCCTGTCTGTGAATGCGGGAGATGTATGTCCTTGAAATGCGCACAGAGGGCGCCTCAGCGTTATTGAACTGCATGTTCAACAGCGCTAAGTCTCGGCCGACGAATCGGAATCGGAAGGCGGGTCCGAACTCCGAAGTCGGGCCCATCCGATCATGCTGACAACGAAGCATGTGAGCATCTTCGCATTTCTTTCGACGCCCACACTCGTCTTCACTGTCCCATCTTGGAGAATGGAATGGAAGGCTTTGCGCACCACACGATGGAGATAGCTGGATGGGCTGAATGATGACGCTTACGCTCGTTGTCACGCCCGCCCTTGAATGCCACACCCGCGCCCACAACCACAATGCGTCTGCTTGTCTTTCCCTCGCATCGTGTCTGCAGAGCGTTTAGCATCCTAACAACTACTTAGGATTGGCAGCCCACCGGCGCTGTGCTCATCAATTGCGAACCTGATAGCAGAGGGTGCGTCGTCGTTCTCCCAATTGTACTGGTGCAAGCGTTATATCTTCCTCGCCCTTGCCGTCAGCACCACGCTCCTCCGCACCGACCGGCAGCGCCATTATTCACGTCAGCACCCCGCGTGCATACACCTGCGACTTCGCCCTTCTTCGCGCCGCCGTCACCGTTCTCCTGCGTCCGCATACCTACGCCCAGCCCCGTTCGTACGCGCCACCGTGACTCCGTCGGCCGCAATGCTATTCCCGCCCGCCTGCGCCTGCGCCCGCTGTCCCATTCGACGTCACCACTCGACAGCCATTCGCACGCATGCCCGGCCTGCCCTCTCGATTCCCGCGGCCGTATGCACCCGCATCCGCTCCTCCATCGCGGCCGCGTCTCTTGATACCCGCGTCTCCGTCGACGTCCCTAATCGCTGGATACCCGCCACTCGCGCGCTCCTCCATCGCTGCCCCGCTGCGCCACCCTCTCCCCCGCGCTCACGCCTTTAACCAGTGACTCATCCATCTGCGGCCGCTGATACAACGCTCCTCCCTCCCCCTGCGCCCGTCGTCCGCGGATTTATGCCGCCACCCACGCACGCATCCACTAGGCCATCTCTACATGCACGATTGACGGACAGCGCCTCATCTTTACCCGCTCCTCCGTCTACGCATCCACGCCGCCGGTCGCCGCAGCCGCGCCCGTATGGATGGACACGCGGAGGCTGATCTGCGTCCACCCTTCGCGCGCCTCATCTACGCCCGTAGCCGCTACGCGCCAGCGCTCCCCGCCGACGGATACGTATATCTGCAAATCGACGCATGCGCAGGTCCGCAAGTCGACGGACTCGCACCCCCCAACACTCGACACATCTCCGCACGTCGTTGCGACCACGCCCATCTCTATCTCCCTACACCCGACGCATATCGGCTCCTCCCTCTGCGCCCGCGGTGAACGCATATCCGCTCCCCATCTGCACCTGCGTTGAACACATATAACACATATCCGCTTCCCCGTCGCCGCCGCAGTCCACGCACGCACCCGCGCGCGCGGTGGGACGAGACCGGGCGGGCCAGGCGGAGGTCAGCAGCGGCGGGTCCTCATCAGACGAGAGCAAGAAGCATACGCGCAGTGGGAGTCGTGGCGGGTGGCGGCTAGCGCAACGGCAGGTGGGGAGGAAAACAGCGTGCGGGAGCGGGAGCGGGAGGAGTTAGCGCTGCCCTGCTCCGCCCCCAATCGACAGATACGGTGGCCGCGAGAGCAGTGCAGTTGGAGCACGTGCTGGAGGACGCGGCGGATACGCACGGAGCGCGCGAGCGGGAATGGGACCGGGGAGTGGTGTGCGAACGGGAGTGGGAGGAGGGAGGGAAGCAGGACGCGCAATGGGGGGAGAACGGGCGTAATGGAACGCAGAGGGAGGGAAGCAGGAGGAGTTGGGATGGGTCAGCTGCCCGCGCAGTCCCGGCACCTACTCCAATTCACTCGATAAACACCGCGGCCCGTACGCGACGGGTTCCCGCATCTGCCTTAGTGGTAGTGGGAGGAAAACGCCCGCGCGCCAGCAGGAGGAGTGGGCGCAGGGGCTGCAGGGCGGGGCGCGCGTGCGGCTGGACGCGGGGTCGCGAGAGCTGGAGTATGGGCGGTATACTGGAGTACACACGAGCGGATCCGCGATGAATACACGAGGCGTGTGCGAGCAGGTGTGAGAGGAAGGCTGCGCGACGGCGGCGGCGGAGGACAGGAGCACGCACAGCGCCGCTGGCAAAGGGCGCAGCTCGGTGGAGTACGCACTACGGGGGCAGGGCACCGTATATGTACGTCCTCCAGAGGCATCAGTGAGGGCAGCGCGAGGAGTCGAAAGGGCGGAAAGTGCTGCAGTAGACGTGCGCTGATCCGCGGAGGAGGAGAACTACTGTAGGAGAACGTGGCCAATACACAAGCAGAGCACTAATGGGATTGCGAGGGAGTGGTCGGAGAGCCGCGGAGCTGGACGGAGCACGTGGCAGGGGCAGCGGCCAGAGACCGCGCGAAGGCGGGAGCAGGGGAGGCTGTTTCTGCCTACCTCATCGTGTTATGATCAGAAATGCCGGGAAGCAGGACTTTTGAACTTTCCCAGTGTCCTCCGTTGCTTTTATTCTCCTAATCTCCTCAAATGCTTGAGAATTAGCCCTTACCAGTACTGCGGAATTTTGCTTCGAGTCGTGGGCATCCACATTCATCCTCAGCCTCCCGAATTACCCTCCCCCAAATCAGCCGTCGAACCCAAGTTCATTTCGCCTAGAGATAAGCGGACATGGTGCACGGCGCATCGCGGCTCTAGATATCTGAGTCCCTCGGATTTCGGAGGCCAAGCGCTCCGAGTCTTCCCTCCTAGAATCACCTCGAGCCCAAGTTCAATTCATGATGATTCATCGCGAAATAAACAGACATGGTGTACCGCGATACTATGGCCCGGGCTCGAATCGAACGAGCGACTTCTGCATGTATCCGCTGACGGCCGTGTATTCAAAGCAGGTGCAACCACCGGGCCTTCTACTGGTAGGTGGAACTCGGTTAGGTTCGCATTTCAAGCGGAACTCTCCTCGTTGTGGACTCAAAAAAAAACTGCATCAGACATGACTTACGACCCCGGACTTGAATCGAACGAGCAGATCTTGCAGTCTTGAACTCAGTCCAATAATGTATTGAAAGCATGTGCAGACCATCCGCCACCGCGATTTTCCAGTCTGCGTTCGAACTTTGTTATTATCGCCATCTAAAGGCTTTGCTCGTTGAACATACAACCAAAGACTTTGCAGGAACACCAAACGTGTGCCATGGATAGGCGCGGCCATAAATAATGTTCTTGAACAGAAGGACGGAATGAATATGCATATGCGTGGCCGATATCTGTTTATTTTTACCCCGAGTGCAGGAGCACACATTTAATTGATGTTTAACACGACTAGAAAAGGATAAAAATATTGCGCCCACACAAAAAGAAAACATGATGGACGACCAACATGGCCCGGGTTCGAATCGAACGAGCGTTTGCTGCGTGGTACAGTACGCCTTCCACTACATTATGAGATGGAGGCGCGGACCATCCGCTACCGGGCCTTTGTGTTTTACCTATGATCCTTGATAAACCAGGATACAAATTAATACAAACTTACCACAATTCGCTTAAATTAATATTCTGACTGCCGCATACAGGTAAGTAATCAGAATCTTCAAGGTCCTTCCTTTACTCGCCAGCAGGAACGGATGAACTGAAATATGGCTCAAGACCTGTAAAATGAAAACACAACATAGTGTGATGTAACATCATCACGACACATATGAAGTGGTTCCGGGAAATAAAAAGCCATTTGAATGGATCTATGACCCGCGCTCTGATTAAACGAGCGAGTTCTGCAACATCACATTAAGCTGTACTACGCTGAGAACAGCAGATACGGGCCTTCCCTGGCAGTGATTTTGATTAGGATTGGATAGAATTTGGATCGAACTCGCAACTAAGGACTCGAGTAGTCACTGCATTCAACAGCCCAGTAGCCACAGTGCGGCCTCGGCAGATATAGCCGTGGACATGCGGCTAACCGGCTTAATCACACCTCCATCAACCTCCACAGCCCTGGGAAGCCGTCAGGGTCTGGCGAGGTCTGGCGAGGAGTGCGGCGACAGTCTGCCGAGCTTTAAGCGCCCGGCTACCCACGCTATGGCTACGCGAGGTAGCCATCAGCTCGCATCAGCTAGACGGTTGCGTCTAGATGACCATGGCTACCATAAATAGCCAAAC